AGCCCTTAGGGTCCCCTGACACCAGATGGTCACAGGGCTATTCCAGGGGATCACAAAGCCTGGCTCAGCCCATATGGTGGGTTTGGGGAGGGTCCCTGGAAGGAAATCAGAGGCTGGGGTCACTTCCCACCCCCATCCCCCAGCTCTCAGCCCCACAGCCTCCCCATCCTTCAGCCCAGAGCTGCTGTTCCCCACCCCCATTGCCCTGGGGAGGGGCTGGCCCGTCCCCACAATGAGGAGGGGGGAGCGGGGACACCTGGGCACAGACTCACCTGCCTGCAGCTGGGTCCTCACGCCGACACTCAGCCCTGGAAGAGAGGTCCCTGTGAGAGAGTCGCCCTAAACCCTGAGCAGAACCTCCCTTCCCCTGAGCGTCCTGAGCCCCGGGGTCTCCTGACAGAGCAGGCCCAGGACTGCCCTCCCCTCCTCAATCTCACCGAGACAGAGCAGGGCCGTGAGCGTGGGGGTCATGGCGCCTCCTCCCTGTGGTGCAGGCTGTGCAGATGGAGGAGACACGGTGCCCTCAGCACGGAGACCCACAGGGTGTGTCCGCGGGGAGGCTGGTCCTCCCCGTCACGGGGCTGTCACGTCAGCAGCCCCACGGGAAGGGGAACTGCCCCTTCTTGAGAGCCTGGCTCTCGTTTCCGTGACAGATCAGCAAAGAGACTCGGTGTCTTCCTGGGGCGCCCCTTAAAGGTGAGGGTGCCCAGGCCACGTCCTTCCCTCTCAGAGCCTCCGTGTGGGGCCTCCTTCGTCCTCAGCCGTCCATCAGCACAGCCCTGCAGGGTCCTCACCATGGACCCGGGTCACCTTCACATGTTCAGGGCAGATGCAGGTTCCTGCTGGTCTGCAGAGCTCAGATCAGCAGAGACGCACGTCGAACGTCTGACTACAGCTCGGTGGAGGTGAAGGGGGCAATGAGCACAGAGGAGAAGCACCGGGAAATAAGGGCAGGAAACACGACTCCTCTCCTGGCCCCGGAGTGTGGGTGTATTTCCGTCGCTGCCCCCATCTCTACTTCTCTTTTTCTTGCAACAGCGTCCACCCCACCTCCTGGGAACAAGTCACGGAGTCCTCCCTGCCTCCTCAGTGCCCCTTGTTCCTCGGGCAGAATGTCCTCCTCATCCTCTGGTGCTACCTATACGCTTTCGAGGGCATTGATTTGGGTTAGAGGTCTTACCTTGAAGGAAAACAGATCTTTATTTAAACCTATACCCACTGCTCGTGTAACCTTGAGCAGTAATGCCCTTTCTGTGAGCCTGAGTTTCTTTGTTTGCATACTGTCAAAAAGCCCACTCCTCAGAGTGAGTGTGGGCTCAGTAGTGCCAGGCTCACCGGAGAGTCAGTCACCGTTAATTTCCAGACTAGCTGTTGACCGGAGCGGGCTGCGACATGAGAGGTCGTGGGCCCAGACTCCACGTAAACTGAACGATGGTTGCGCCCATCCAAGAGCTGTGGTGTGCTCCTAACACTGACAAATACTACGTATAATATTTCTGAAATACGTTGCCACAGATAAATGCAGAAAAAGAGGAAGTTCCCCAAATGGAGAGGGAACCAGAGTATACAACAGACAACCAGGCTGAGTGGCCTCTCAGGGGCCGGGGTCATCAAGGGGTCAGCGGCAAGAGGTTTTCATGTCTAGGGACAAGAGGTCCCCCAGGTCCTCCCAGGTGGGAGGGGTCAGGGCACCAGGTGAAGG